GGCAAACTGAGTATTTTCAAAACTGTATCCATAAGTAGTGCCAAACGCTGAGTTTGTTACCCTTTTCTATCTCTTCTTGTTCAAAGTTGGTGTTCAGAATAACGTGTAAATTACCAAAAACAACAATGAAAGTACAAGTACAGAACCTTTTAACTTAAGTATTTTTGCTGTTCCAAACTTGTCCTGGTACGACCAGTGGGCTAATGTCACAAACTTACTGATAATTACGCAACCATTCTGCCTGTATTGCTGTCGTCACAGCTTGTAGCACTGATCATCAAATAAAAACATATTTAGCGTTCACCTTAGAGCTTCTGCTCTGCTTGATAGGAACATTAAGTAGAACAGGTAATGAAGGACGTGGTTCACACAGAGTAGTCCAGCATTCCTGTGTTGGAGAGAGTGCTGCCTGTCACATGCACCATGTTTAATGAAATTAACTCTGCTTTGAGCAGAGGAGAGGCTGGAGCCACGTGCGCTTTTGACATTACACGCTCAGTTTATCTGAGCGACGACAACTGCCAGTGAAACCCAATTCTCTCTGTGGTTTCTACTTTTAGAGCAGGAAACATGGGGTGAGAGGTTCAGGGGTTGTAAAGCACTGAAAGGCTGGAGACGGACAGAGCAGCAGCTCGTTAAACAGGTCAGGGAAAGACCCTGCAGGGCTCTGACATTCATCTGCCGCTGCAGGAGAAGAAGAAAGCACAGGAGACAACAGACTGAGTTTGGTTTTTTGTTTTTTCTTGCTTTTTTGTTTTTTTTAATGGAATGTATCTTGTATCGAGGTATGAAAATAGATCTCACGTTGAAATAAGAAATTGAACAGTGGCTACAAAGGGCACAGCTATAACTGTGTGTGTCATGATGGCAACAGGAAGGAATGTCAGAGAAGCATCACACCAGTTGCATTAGATAAAGGGCAAAGCTGTGACCCCGTGTGGGAGATGACAACAACACGGAGACATGTGCTGGTCTGCCGGTGAAACGCTGGCAAGTGGGGATAGCAGAGGGGAACTGCCAGCTAACAGGAAACGACACGAGCCACAGTGAGAGAAAATGTTTCCTGACAGATATTCCTCCATCGTGAAAACCAATAAAGGACATTTCTGAGCCCATTACCCAGCACGTCCCTGTAAATGTTGCCATGTACCACACCGTTTCAAAGTATTATCGGTCTGTTTGCTTTCACATGAAAAGTATGTCGTGCCTATTAAAACTTTGTTGTGGTTTTACAGACTTTTCTCAGAGGCAGAGCTGCTACAGAGACAGAGAGAATCTCAGTGGTCATGATAAATGTCTGTTAGCACAGCGAATGACTTGGATGGCTGGCTAGCTTAAATTCACAAACTCCTATCAAAATACAGCTAACTGGGAAAACAAAACCTATCAGGTCTAAATGCCACAGTATTTTGTTGCACAACTACAATGCTTGTTGATACATTAGTTACTGATATAAGTATCACAGTGAACAACTCAAAATCTGGACCTGCAGCACTTTTTTCAATTTCTCCGTCTTCAGCAGTGATTTGAACAAATGGTAAATGTATTTGTGTAGCGCTTTACTCGTTTTTACTAGTCGATTCTTTCAGTTACAAAGTTTCTGAAAGAATCAAATTCTGATGACCATTAAGTTTTACACGGGCCAAGTAGGTTTAACGTGACACATGGAACAAATTGCAAGCGGAGAAGGTAACATTGCATTTGGGGAGACTATGAATATGAAAATCCAAAGACCTGGCATTTAAAATAGGTCTTTTTTTTTTTAATGTATAAATGTCAATAATCTCTGTATGAGTGATGATGTCTGTGCAAAGATTCGTTCAGATCGGCCCGCCCCTGAAGGAGGAGGTAGGGTTCATACTACAATCACTATAGTAATACTGTTAACCCAATCATGCTTATGTACGTAATAAGGACTTGGATTTCCTATGAATCTGAAATTTCAGAAGTTGGTAAGAAACTTAATATAACTTAAAAGCCACATGAGCTCTGTGCAAAGACTCGCTTGGCCCCTAACAGGACGGTAAAACTCAAAAACAGAAGCTTTACAGTTTCAACATCGGGACTGTCTGCTGTTTCTTTAAGTTTTCCTTCTCTGTGTTTCAGCCATGCCAGAAAGGATTTAACACAACCACTGAACCTGTCTCAGATTGCAGCTCAGATTCTGCACACTGGTGTTGTAACACACACACACACACTTTACTTTGCACTAATAATCTTCTGCTGTTACTAAGCTCTGCTCTGTAACCACTGAAAACCAACTAAGTGTGATGAGCTAGCATCTTCTGTAGTTTTAAGACTCACATGAAGCAAAGATATCAGACAACTTCTGTATCTATGAATGCAGCAAAAAAACAAAAACAAACTGATGATGGATTTACACTGTAAAACACTCCCATATGCTGCCGCTATACAGATGAAGAGCGGAAAATAATGCTTGTCTATACTGAGCAGGTATATCAGCTTATAGACTCCCTACAGATCTTCAGTATTGTGAGTTATAACACTGCACAAGAGAAAAAAATGTTTTGAAATGAGTCTTTGGTTCAGTTGAAAAATAAAACAATGGACAATGACACATTCTACTAATAGTGAACTGGTTTGGCTAACCTACGATATCCATCCTAATACATATGCAAGCTTGTTTCCAATGGCCTTGTAGGCTATGAACCGCAAAGCCACTCCTTCCTCTTCCATTTATCAACAACATAACATTTTTATAGAAAATATATATATACACTTCTAATAAATAAGAGATAAACCCATCGCATGGTAGAACGCGGCTCTTTTTTCTCACATGCTTTTTGTCCATGAGTCTTTTGTGAAACAAGTCTCTGTACTGAAAAAGGGCGAGGCGCAGGTCTGTGGAAACCACTGCATGGAAGAGGGGTTCTCCTGGAGAATGGAGGCTCGGCGGGGAAGCGGCAGGGGGAGATGCACCTCGGGTTCAGATTCATCCACCAGCTGAGTGTCCAGTTAACCTGCAGATGCAATCAGTTAGTCGGGCTGTTGCACGTGTATGCATTATTTATATCATTATGCTTTTGCATGGAAGAGAAAGAAAGACACACAAATAGCAAAATATAGAAAAAGTCTGCTGAGTTTTTCTGCTGTCACATCGTCTAACAGTCATCAGCAAATGCTATAATCCCCAAATAATGTCCTCAGTCTGCTCCTCTAGTGCACTTAAAGACCACAGAACAGCAAAATCCTGATCTATGACATTTACTGTGGGGGAAGGATCGCTTTTGAAATCTATTCTTCTTACAAAACCAGTGAATATGTTTTAATAGCGGTTTGGGTCTAAACTAAAGATGATGCACTCTGACTCTTCAGTAAGAGGGTTTGCGCCATATTTGTAATTGATGCTGATTATTTGTCACCGTGAATTGGGAAAAACAAACATCTGTGTTGATTCGGGCTGGGTTTGAGTGTTTGACTGGACCAAAAGCTGCACGTGCTCCGTCCAGCTGCTCCTACAGATCACTTTAAGACGCATTTGTGGGCTTCACGTTATGTGCGCGCGCACCTTCACGAATACTCCAGACGGCTGCAAAGTCTGCGCGTAATTTGGCGCGCGATGTTTCACTTTAGCTTTACTTAAACTTTAGTGCATGAATCTTTACACCAGTTTAAAGTTAGTTTAAATTTAGATTTAGACAGATGGACTAATATTTTAAACCGCACACGAGTATTTCGGTTATGTATGGATAAAGTGAATTGTCGGAATTACTTAACTGTGATTATGTCAGGGGCATCATTTCATTTCACGGTTATCAGAGCGAAAGGTAAGTTTTGGTGAGAAACCCTTTTATTAAATGTCAAACCTGCCGTCGAAGTCTCTTTTCTTGCGAGCGAATTCACCTCCGGGGGGGGGGGTACAAGGAGGCCTAAAGCGCGCGGGGGGCTCCTAAACTTTTTTTTTTTTGTTTCACCAAAATAAATCCTGGTTTCGTGGGATTAGTTGGACCGCTGACGGTAAAACACGCGTCCCTGCTCTTGGTTCAAACATCCAGAAGATAAACGCTTTTTAATTTAAAGGGCTCCCCCGGGTGGTCCGCGGACCCGGGGGAGCCCCCTCCACTGCTTTCTCCTGTAGCTGTCTTACCGCAAATCGTGCACCAGTGTCTGCGGGACTCGCCGCAGGTCACGCTACGTTCGGAGAGCTGCGCACGGTCTTTTGTCCGGGCATCTGCACCACGAGCAGCTGCTGCTTCTGCCGGGTGGACTTGACGGCCAGGATCGCCTGCCGGTTCTTGTACTGGACCATCTGCAGAGTGATCTCCGCGTTCCAGCCCTCGTCTTGCGGGCACCTGAAGTCGATCTCCTTCCCCTCCGTCATGACCACCGTGAAGTACACGTATTTACCCTTCCGCTCCACGCAGTCCACCGTCTTCATGTTGGCGAAGTGGAGCTCCTTGACTTTGCCCGCGTCCCCGCCGCCGCCGTGGTGCTGCTGGTGGTCGTGTTGCTTGGGCGGCAGCAGCAGCACGCCGTCCTCGGTCAGGACGCAGTGTTTCTTCTTCCAGAGCTGCAGCAGCCCGTCGCTCCGTTTCTCCAGCAGACCCTCCTTGAACACTTTCCTCCCGTTTTCCAGCATGTTTACCCGGACGCCTCGGTGCTCCTGCCCTTCGTGGCTGCTTCACGGACTGGACGCGTGTTTTACTCCCAAGCAGGTGAAAGGCATGGGATGCTGCTTGTGACTGCGGCTCCAAGAAGCGCTGGCTGTAGTGAGAAGGCTGCCAGCCTGCCTGTCTGCTTGCGGTGTTTGTGTGTTGTGTGTGTGTGAGACAGAGAGAGAAGTGGGTTGGGGGCGGGAGGGGTCTGAAGAGGTGCACCGCCCCCCTGAGTAACATCCAGCCTCCTGGGATGAGCACAAAGCAGAGCACCGATAACGTCAGTATCTTCAGCATCTTCAGGAAGAAGAGACTGAAAGTCTGCCAGTATGTGCAGACGCATCAGAGGTGCTTTAAGTTGCGCAGAGCTGAGATTTCTCCTTCATGCATAAACACTGTAACACCGCCCAGACTGAGACGCAGGCAGATTCTTGTAGTCAGAGTGATTCAGATTCACGGCCCTCCACGTGAATCAGTGACAGTGAGCACCTGCAGTCTGCTTTACATGCATTCAGTTTTCATTTGCATCACCACTGCTACCCTTTACTCTCCATTCAATTGACCTTTTGGTTCCTGTGTGGGGTTTTGTGTGCTCATGTTCAGTTTCTATTACAACCACACTCCCCGGGGGACATGGTTTCAAAGGTTGCACAACTGCGCCATCTGCTGGAACAAGCACGTCATAGGCCACATTCCCAGTGTAGTTTGAAAAGTAATTTCTGGGGCTTGTTTTTGTTATTCAGTATGTTTTGTTGGTAATGAGTGTGTTATTTATAACACAAAGAAATCACCTGCTTTTCAAGTATGATGGCTTCATTATAATCAGTCCAGTTCTTTTTTGGTCCCTTCAATTACATTATTACTTAAATTACGTTATTCAGAATTTGACACTCTTGGCCAAATCTGTTGACAAAAGACATTTTTTCATGTCAATGAGACTTTAACAGGATAAATGAAGGAAATACGAGTCACTTTCCCAAAGAACAGGTATATTCAAGGCACTAAATGAAGCCAACTCAGTGCACAAGACAGTTTAAATTGGAACTCTTATTTTAAACACTTTGTCAGGACCATTTGTGATATTTTATGATGCGCGACTACAAGTTTAAAAATAAAAGTGCCCGGGCATGCAAATTTACTTTGATGGCAGCCTAATAACCATGCTGTAGTTTCCGGGTGATAACAAGCGAAGCATTGTGTTGATGTGAATGACAGATTTAAATATTCTACAAACAAAAACTTGATGGGGAGAGAAAAAGTCGCCATCACATACATGTTTAACCAATTTATTCATGAACATACACGTACAGTTATTGAGTACATTAGTATTTTGTAGCATAGCATTTTGCCTTGACAACAGCTGCTCAGAAGGACGCCCCCACAGAAACCCAGTCAGTCCATTTCCAATGAACATGATCTGGATACTCCCTGCAAAATGCCAAGTACCCTGGATCTCCACAGTGGACATGATGATGCCCCAATGACAACCAACACATGGCTGTTCTCACAACCGAGGGGAGAGAAAGGGGGGGGGGGACGCTAAAGGACTGGGGGGAGCAAGGCTACTGTTTCATTTCAGTTCCTCTCCTGGCTTTAAGTATTGCTCCGACAACCTTTTCCAAGGCATTCTGGGTAACAAAGGAAGCAGGTTTGGTGGGCAGGGTGGGTCATGAGCCATTATCACACTCCCCCCGTTTCTTTCACAGTGATAAAAATGAACCGTGACCTCAGCTACTGGGCTCAGGTTCACATGAGACATGAATTGGTTACATGAGGGGGGGGGGTAAACAAACCGAAGAGGGAAAAAGTGAGGCGTGAGCCCAATCTTGACACTCCACCCCCTCCCCTTGTCATCCACTGCGCTACATCTGCCCAACACTGTTCCTATAAAGCTTCCCTGAATGGGACAAGTGTGCCTCCCTCGACAACAACGGTAATGCACTTTAAACCAAATAGCACAACTTGAACTCTACAGAGCGGGGCTACAGCAGCACCCCCTCACATCCCCTCGGGTGTGGGGTGGGAGGAGTCAAAGGGCTGCTCACATTGAATAATTGGACAGGACACCACTGGTACACCACACGAGTAACAAAGTGCTATAGAAAAAGACGACAGCCACACTACTGCGAGCCTTCGAGGAGCCTGAAGCGTGAGGTTATTGGGGCTGTGTCCCCAAACGACGCCATCCTGACAAACTCACCCCACCTTCCAGAGTTTTCTTAAGATAAGGAATGTTCGAGAGTCGGCTGTAGAGAGCCATAGGAGCGAAGTCGTCACTGCAAACGTCCGTTTTGATATCATTTTAACAGTCTGTCCGGAGGAAGAATGGCAGACTCTTTAAGAGGTTCACTAATGGGGCCAGCCAGTCCGTTTACCGGAATGTTTAAGCGGAAAGCAGCTGAGCACAGGAATTCCCAAAGGAATTGTGAGGGAGTGGGAAAAAAGAGAAGTCAGGTGAGGAGGTGGCAACTGTGGATCCCACGGAATAAACTGGACTGGACACTCAGGTGCAGCTAACACATCCGTCCTGTCTGGAAATGCTACAGTGCTTTGTGTGTTCTCTTTTAAGTGCTCAAGTCCCGCTAAGAGTTTAGAAAACAAAAGCTAAAATAAATCACTGGGACAACCTGGAATTTAGCTCGGAGGAGAGGATATATAGATCGGTGTCGCCGGAATGCCCGTCTAAACCACAGCTGTTGTCTAAGAGCAAATACAACAAAAGACTTCACAAGAACCCAAACTAGTTTAGCAGTGAAGAAACAAGTTCATGCTTTTTGAGGGAGGTTATCTTCCTGCAGTCTAACTATGGTACAGAGAAGGAAGAGAGGGGAAAACAGGTCTAGTAAAATACTATGTATATCGAGCCACGCTGCTCCCAGTATATTACCATGAGTTTTTGTAACAAAAATCTTGAAACCTTTTTTTCTCCAAGTTCTCTACCAAGAAAAATACAAAACATTATAAGGCGGTAAGTAACTATTTTTTTTAATTTTTTATTTATATATTTCTTCTTTTGAGAAGCCGTTACAGTGCAGTTGATCCTCGAGGCAGCCGGGTCAGGCTTCACTGCTGCTTGCACTCAGCTGGGGGGGCTGCATCCTTCTGTAAGAAACAGGATGGTGGGTGTTAAGATGAAGGCCGCTCCACACACACTCATTCAAATGGCACGTACGCAGTCACGCCACTCCACCACACAAGCAGCTACAAACTTCTCACCTCAGCTATTTTTAAATGCAACAGAAACGACACGGATGTGATGACTGACACGTTCACAGACAGACAGCAGTGTGAAAATACTTTTCGTTAAACAGTATCGATGCAAATAAACATCAGGCCAGGGATTCTTCAGGGTGCTGGTGAGACATTTGAAAGTCTAATCGACATGACTTTCAGAGGATCGCGTGCTCCCGTGGGACGCTCCAGCAGCAGGTTAGCTTAGCAGTAGGCTGGCTCTGCTAAGCTAACATTTGTTCTAATTATCATATGCAACTTGTGACCTTTAAGTGCTTCATATAAATCTTTCCCCATATGTCTTTTTGTATCAGCATGAGGCAAAATAATGACAAACCTTAGATGGCCATTTCAAGTTTTTCTTCTGGAGTGTAAGAGTCAGAGCACTCATGATGAAAGCTGAGCTGACCACAGGTGTGAGGGAGATGAAGTGCTTAAATGGATCAAATAAAGCCCGATGTGTGGCTTGGAGTTTTAGGCTATGTCCACACGTACACGGGTATTTTTGAAAACGGAGATTTTCCGTTTTCGTTTTAAAAATAATCCCGTCCACACGTAAAGGCAGAAATGAAGGAAAACGCTGCTAGGAACATGCCAAAGCAGCAGGTGGCGCTATATTCCTAACCGTGCAGAAATGTTAGCGTTAACCTTCGTCTTTGATGACCATTAATGGAAAAGGCACACAAATTATTATGAATGTTAGGTTAGCAACGTTATTCCTAACCGTTGGCCAATCAGAAGTCTAGAAGCCTCGGTGGGAAAAAGTAAACAAAGCTGGGGCATAGAAGCAGAACCGAGTCGTATGTGTGGAGGGACAGTAACTGTGTGTGTATATGTAAGTATTTAAACACTGCAGAGAACAATTAACAGTAACAGTATTGTAGAAATTCATTTCACCGAAACAATAACGTGGCGCACAGTGTGACGTCAAAAAAGGCGCACACCTTTGACGCTGCGTTTTCTCCGTTTTTCTCGTCCACACGTAAATGCAAAAACTGAGTTTTAGAAAATATCCACCCTGGCCGGAGTTTTTAGAAATCTCCGTTTTCAGTGACCGAAAACGCCGTTTACGTGTGGACGAAAGGTGCAAACGCATAGAAAAATCTGCGTTTTCAAAAATACCCGGGTACGTGTGGACGTAGCCTTATAGAGCCCTGAGTGAGCTGTAGGTATTGCAAGTATTTCTTTTACACAGCTAGGAGGTTCCTGTCATTTTTACTTCACTACAGCCGTGGCGGGGAAACTTCAGGGGGCTGTGCGCTCATGTCTGAGTAAGGACCACTTCCCCTCCCACCACCTCTACTGCACAAAAACCATCAGCTGCCAGCATCCCCAACATGCTAGTTTCAGCAATATTACAGTTCCTGCTTTAACGCACATTAGTCGACATCTACCGGCATGTCAATCTAATGCAACTCTTAAACCCTCAGACATTAACCATCTTTCAGCACTCACATGTTACTGAGCACTTCAGAAATCAGTGTGAGCCTAAAACCTTAGAGTTTCCAACATCATAGAATACACTTTGATTCTCTTATTGTCAGCTGTGCCAAAGGATTAAAGGATTATTCTGTTCCATTTATCAGCACATTCATCCAGCAAACACATTTCTACTCATCTACTTGATGCATTCTGAGCAACCAGAAACGACCGGTAAAGGTAATTTCTCATGAGATAAACAGTTTGCTCATTTTTCTGAGACTTAAACGTCGCTGTTTGAGAACGCCGAAATGTATCTTGGTGCCTTAGGAAATGACAACTTGCAGATCTCTCTGAAACATTACAGACATGATAGATCTCATTTTAAGACGAGCTGGTGGATCTTCTTGATGGGGTGTGTCAACAGAACAATCTGATGTCCTCAGTTTAACTTATGGCGAGGAAAGAAACTCAGCTCAGTAATCTTCAACAAATGCAGACAAATACTGGAGGTTCGAGGCCTCCATCACCGTGTGAGATAATCTCATAATGAGTCCTGTGGAGGACAAAATAATGAGAATGTTTGTTCACTAAAACAAAAAGAAATCAGACATTTCTGTGTAACTTGATTAGAGGCTGATATACCAACATCAAACCAGCTAACTGCCAGAGAGTCAGTGACTGAAAATCTAGCTTCTAAATCTCCACTGGTTAATTAAATTAATGGCTGGGGTATTTTTTTTTTTAAACCAGCA